CTAAACTAAGTACGAACTTACTTAACTTAAACTTACCTAACTATTACTACTATACTAGTTGTTATATTATTAATTAATTATTACACAATAGTGTAACTTTAAATTTTAGTTATTTTCATTGAAACATATAATGATAAATAAAGACATTCCTAAAAAACCATAATTTCTAGTATTTACAATGTTACGATATCCATTTGCACTTAGGAGACTTGATTACTAACCCTTGTGCTAAGCCTTGTTGAGCCTCTCAAACTGCAGTGAGCATAAATTAATTTCTGTACCTTTTAAATTTGCATTTTATATTAACAAAAACATCACTCACTAGAACAGGACACCACAAAACTACTATAATTTAATTGGCTTTCTAACTATGGTATAAATAAGTTGAACTCATTTCTGTTAAAAGCAATGATTTCAGTTTATACATTTCAAAATTTTTAAGAGAATTTCAGTTTTTCCTTGCCATAAACTTGACAAAGAATCATCAGATTTATGTGGTTCATGATCTGCTTTTTCTACTTAAAGAGAGGTAGGCATAAGTAAACATGTGGCTTCAAAAGAATGAAGAGGGGAGGGGCTTCTCTGGTGGGTTTGGTAAATATATTGATATCTCAGCAAATCTAGAAGTTATGATATTATATTCTACCTTTTAAATATGAGAATTTGAGTTTTTAGTTGGTTAAATACTGTTGGCATTATATGGTAGAAATAATAAAATGTAAATTAAGCAACTAATAGTGTGGATATATCATGTGACATACAAATATGAACAGTAAGAAATCTATTTCATACTTCTTTTTGAATTAATAAATTAAATCTTTTATTTAGATTTGATTTATTATCTATGTTTGGATACGAAATTTATTGGTATAGATTGATAATAAAGTATTTTAATTACATTTTGAATGCAACTCTGTAAAAGGTCATGACATGCACATTTTAACCTCACCTGTGAACATAGGGCTAACTTGGAGTTTGTAATCTTGACTTGCTCATGGAGCCATAATACTGTGAATTGCCTGACAATGTACTTCATCAGAACTAAAGACTGCAGCCCCATGCACCAAAAAACACAATGCTAATGCAAAGTAACTTCTTTCATGCGTCTGGGGTTCAACCACAGATAAAATCATGGAAAGACCGCTACATACATTAGACACACCCCAACAAGCTGCCAGAAACTGTTTGTATTGAAAAGATTCTTCACTTTATTGTATTCTACATTTTAACCTACCTATTGTTTTGAATGAATATGAATTTTTCTTAAATTGTATTTTGAGCTTTAGATTTGTGATTCAATCAAAATTTATTTGTACTTTCTAATTTTGTTTTGTTTTGAAATTGATAATGTGTTTTAAACTCAAACTTTTGTATTTCTGTTTTATGATGTAACTGGCTTGTATTAATGATGTGTTTTAAACTCAAACTTTTGTATTTTTGTTTTATGATGTAACTGGCTTGTATTAATGATATTTTTAATACTGTGTTTTAAACTCAAACTTTTGTATTTTTGTTTTATGATGTAACTGGCTTGTATTAATGATATTTTTAATGATGTGTTTTGAACTAAACTTTTGTATTTTGTTTAATGATGTAACTGGCTGGTGTTAATGATATTTTTAATAATGTGTTTTAAACTCAAACTGGCTGGTGTTAATGATATTTTTCTTAATTTTTTTTAAGCTTATTGAATATTTTATTTTTATGATTAACTTTTGAGTTTATTTGTTTCTTGTTCTGTATTTTGTTTTTGTATTTCAGAGTTTAATGTATGTTTATATATTATTATCATTTTCAGTTTTTGTAACCAGCTGCTGTAGTTTTATGCAATAATGTTTCTTATCTTTGTTTATGTGTCATGATGTTGTGCATGTCAAATAAGGGAAACAATTAGTATGTTTTGTTACCTGCAAATAACTTATTAATTTGGTCATTATGTTAATTTTAAAGATCAAGAAGAGACCACTCTTATACATCTTTACTCAAGTACAAGATAGGCCTTGAATTATTCAAAGAGGCAACACAGAAATCTGTACACAGCGACTTGACTTAAGATTGTGTAAAAACATTAGTTGAAAGCACCTAAACTTGCATACTTGTAAGACACCAGATTTTCTTTGTTTCTCTGCATTACTTTTGTCCACTCTTGTTATTTCAGTTAAGTAACAGTTTTAGTTACACTTTGTAATCAATATCATGAATGAATCTCCTATCTGATAAGTCAAACATATACTCAGTACACTTGAATATACCACAGAGTGGATAGGTAGGAGA